CCTGTAGTGGGCCTAGCTGCGAGGCGGACCGGTGCGGAAAATCCATCGGTTGGGTCCGTACTCACATTACCCCCTAAACCAACGCCTTCCACAAGTGTGGATAAGGAAAAGGATGAGGGGGAATGGCGCCTCGTAGTTAGGGGCAAAGGGAAGACCCAAACAGCGGTTCCTCAGTCCCATCATGACTCCAGGGACATTAACACCTACAGCCCTCTACCAGCTCTGAGGGCGACGCCTCGGCGTCTTACGAAAAAAATGCGACAGAAGCGCAAAAATTAAATGAACCCTGTTGGCAAAAGATCCTAGACCTAAAAAAACTTAAGGAGAAATTGGAGACCAAGCGGGGTAAAAATCAAAAATCGCTGGGGGCGCCGTATCCTTTGCCCCGTCTTCCCCTTCTTCATCAAAAAAATCATTTACAAAACCACCTCTGCCCAAATCTGTATCGAACTCGCCGACAAAATCTTTTCACTCGTCCTAACCTTCTCCGGTGAGGACGCCTACGGGATGGACTCCTTCAACAACACCTAATCTTACACCCATGTCAACAACCATACAATCTCCAAATAAGAAAAGATTCAGGAGCCCAGATTCACAATCAGTCACCGACAAAAAGAAAAAGAAATTTAAACCACCTTACCTCCCAGGGGAAGACGTCTGCCGCGTATCCCGGGACCAGGCGGAAAGGGTTTTCGGGCAGACGAGGAACCCGAAAGACTTAAAGGTTCTTTGGAACTTTAAACAAATTAACGGCGTCACATTACCGGATAAGCGGACCGTGACTACAAACACGGGCATATGTGAGGTGTTTCGGGATTACTTTCAGGATCTTTTCACCAGGGAGCCCGGTCTGAGCTTTGCTCAGTTCGACGCCTATTTAGCTGACTTTCCCTGCCTCAGGGCAGCTGAAGTGGCTAGGTGCGAGGGTCCCATAACAGAGTCGGAAATCTGGGAAGCGCTGAAGCAGGTTGGCCTGGATAAGTCTCCGGGATTAGATGGTCTTCCCTACGAAGTTTACTTGAGGTTGTCGCACGTTTTTGTTCCTTTGATTTTCTGATTTTCAACCACTGGATGAAGCAGGGGTCTTTACCTCAACGCTTCACCAGGGGTGTGATCAAGTTGTTGCGTAAGGACAAGGACGGTGGGGATGGGTTAGGGAACTTTCGCCCTTTAACGATGTTAAATACTGACTTAAAGATTCTGGCGAAGATCTTAGCCAACCGTTTGCAGCTTGTCCTGTCTAGTCTGATTGGCCCTGAACAGACTTGTGCTGTGAAGGGCAGGACTATTCAGGATAACCTTCATATGGTACGCTTGATCTTAGAACAAGTCGACAGTGAAGCCGCGCTGATCAATTTAGATCAGTCCAAGGCCTTCGATAGGGTTGACCATCGATTTCTGGAGGCTGTCCTTTCGGCGGCCGGTTTCGGAGCCGACTTTCGCTCCTGGATCCGACTCTTGTATGCGACCCCCGGTGCGCTGGTGGAAGTGAATGGGGTAAGATCGAAGCCTTTCGTATTGTCTCGCTCCATTCGTCAAGGTTGTCCGCTATCGCCTCTGCTTTACGTTCTTGCCTTGGAGCCTTTCCTTCGCAAGTTAAAGGCGAATCTGGTCCTACGCGGAATCTCGCTGCCTGGTGCTTCCACCTCGGCCAGGTATTCTGCTTATGCTGACGACGTTTCGGTTCTTGTGTCGAGCAAAGCCGAGATTAACGAAGTCAGCAAGCAGATCAGTGGGTATGAGATGGTGACAGGGGCCAAGATCAACCGCGATAAGTCTGTGGGCTTGCGGTTGGGTGCGTGGAGGGGAGTTTCTCTTCCCGGACCTTTCCTCTGGACGGATGGGCCGATCAAGATACTCGGCGTCTGGTTCGGTCCTGATCTCCAGTTGGAAATGAATTGGTCGGAGGTACAAGGGCGGGCCGAGGCCGCGGGTAATCTGTGGTCTCGGAGGAGACTTTCCCTGAAGGGAAGGGCGGAAGTTTGTGTTTCACACATCTATCCGATCCTCCTCTACCGACTCTCTGTGCTTCCACTCCTGTATGCCCGACTAATGTCATTTGTCAAGGTCTTGTTCTCTTTCTTGTGGAGAGGCAAGTCCCATATGGTATCTCGCGAGGTCTGTTGCCTTCATCCCTCTGAGGGCAGTCTGGGTATGCCTAGCATTGAGATTCGTCAATATATGCTTCGCATTACCTTTCTAGACCGAATGTGTCGTGGTTTGGATGAGGTGGGCACCTTTTGGAAAGAAGATGTCCGAAAACATTTCCCATCCCTGAGAAGTGTGCACTCGTGCGAGGAGGAGGCCGGCCGTACACCTCGTGTCGAGTGCTCCTTCTACCGCGAATGTCGTCGTGCTTTGAAGCTCCTCTTGCGGACGTCGGATGGCCTCTCCGACGCCCAAGCGTTGTCTCGTAAGGCATTATATCGTTTGTTAGTTAGGGGTCCGTTCAAGATGGTCTGATCGACGAGCTCGGTCTTACGAAGCAGGAGGCTCGCTCGATATGGCCTTGGGCGCCTGGGTTGAAATGTCTCAATAACGATGAGGCATCACTCACCTGGCTGATGATTCGTGGGGCCCTCTGGGTCGGCAAAAGACTTTGTTCAGCAGGCTTGGAGAAACATCCAAACTGTCGTCGCTGTACTGGGAATGTCGAGACCATTGGTCACGCCTTTTTTCAGCGCAAGACGGTAGTGCCATTGTGCAAGTTTGTTGAAGGCCTCATGGTTCGCATGCTGCAGGGAAAGTTTTTTGTCCTGGAAGCCAGTTCTGTTTGTAGCAGTGTGGTATCGCAATTGACGAAGGCTGAACACTATGTGTTCTGTTGCTTACTAGGGGTTATGCGAGTCGTGATTTGGACGACGCGACAGAAGGGATTCTATGAAGGCGAGAAGTTCACCTCTTCCCAACTGATCTTGTACTTTAAGCATCAGCTTAAAGTCAAGATTTGGACGGAAAGGCGGCGGCTCCCATCATCAGAATTCGGCAAAAGGTGGGTGAATCTTGCGCGAATGTGTAGAGTGAAAGGGGATGACCTAGAGTGGCATTTGGATGTCGGTTAGGTACAGAATTTTGTCCTAACAGGGTTGAACATAGGCAACCCACCCAGATATTAGGCTAGACTAGGTTTTCGTTTTTGAATTTTTATTTTCCCTTTTTTTCCCCGGCTAACTTAGCTAGGGTATGTAAGCTCATTGGTCCCTTTTATTTCTGTCCCTATTTTCTTTTGTTTAATTCCCCATCCCTCCCTCGTTAGGTGGTTAGTGATGTCAGTTTTCTGGTGGATGCGGGGCGCCTTTCGTTTCGTGTGTGTGTTTTTTCGTATTTGTTGTTGTGTATGAATGAGTGAGTGTTTGTGTGAATGCTTGATGGTTTGAATGTTTTTTATTTTTTCTTAGTCCCGCATCGATTTCGTCCGGTTAACTGATATTTCTGTCACATTCATAGTTTGTGGGGGGTTTTATTACTAACTTAATTTTGTTTAGCTTATTGTAAATATTTAATTCACTTTGTAAATATTCATTTGGGGATTTTAAAAGTTGTTATTTTATGACCCTCCCCTCATGAACAATATCTGTAAATAAGGGGACTAGTTAGGACTTCATAGAGAAACTGAGGTATTATGGTGGACGTAGTAAGAAAGGTAGGAGTGAATGTGGTGTTTTGGTGACTGGATTATTGTTGGCATGTTTGGGTCAGTGTCTGCGACTAGCTAAGTTTAGATTTAAGACAGATGAAGACCGTCATTCCCCATCCCCCTTTTCGGCCTTGTGCCACATTTTGTATTTTAAATGCAAATAAATATTGCCACAAAGGAGACTGGTCACGGTCAGCAGCTGTCAACAGGAGAGCGTCAACATGTGTGAACTACTATGAGAGATCGACCAGATCCGAAAGCCGGCTTATGAACTTTACCACACGGTAGCTGTCCCAAACCCACACGTTCCTGTTGAAATAAACCACGTAAATCTATTTCTACTGTTGTCGTATTTCTTTCTTGCAACCATACGCTTAAACAGAAAGAAATGTGCAATTAAATATACCTTGTCACAAGAATTGTTTCTTAGAACTACCAGGAAAAACGTTATTCCCTAAAAAACTAAAACAGAATAAATTAGAAACATTGTACTTTTTAAAATGACATTTGAAATACACAAATAAATAAATTTGAGAATATGATTTACTTTAATTTCAGAAAAATAAAACACCATAATTCCAACTCTTAGATATTTCCCAAAAATATTTTTATATCCTTTATTTTTAAAAATAAAAAAGGTACCAAGTGGAACATGCATTGAATTATATTGGTACTATTTCAATTTAAGCATCCGTTGTTGTTTTTTAATTACCGAGGATATTATTGCATTGATATTATAATTTTAGAATTATTAAAGTAAAAATATTAAAATAAAATTTTCCGTATTTTAATCATGATGTTATATTTTATTTTCTTTCATTTGTCTACGTATTTTTTTCAGATCCCATTTTAACGAGATATTGAAATCACGCGTGATTTCCTGTGTTGATGATAATATCATGGCGCCGTGCACGTGTTGGAAGTAGCGTGTTATTTTGTTTGTTTTTTTTTTATTCACGATTTTCTAATAAGTCACTTTACATAAAGACCCGAATCTTGTTGACTTCATTCTATAATAGTTTTCAAATTCTTTTACTTCTGTTTAATTTAGCTAATAGTTTAAAACTCGTGCTGAATAATGTAAATTTAAAACAAAACTAATCTTCTTAAAAGTGAAAGCACTATCGAGAAATACTTCGAGTCATTTAAAAAAAAAAAGTATGGTACAAAACAAAGTGTTTGGGTCTATACAAAAATAAACTAAAAGATGTTTACAACGCAAAAGACGTCATTGTCGGAATGGAGTGAATGTATTCATTGTAAAAAAATCATCAATTGTCGACACGTTGGTAAACACGCGACAGAATGTGATTCTTTGTCAGCTCAAGACAATTTAACTTATGGTTATATTCATAGAGGAGTGATGCATGGATTGGTTGCTAGCTTGTCTGAAGGAGAATTGCAAGGTAATGTTTATTGAAGGAATAATAATGGTCTGTGCCATTATTATCAACTTCACGTTAAAACCATTGACTGGTTTCGATGAACGTGAAGTTGATTTTGAAGACACGTTCATTTGAGACTTACGTAGTTGACGTATTTTTTAATCAAATGAAATTTTAATTTCAGAAAAAAATACTTTTCTTAGTTGAGACAATAATAGAGAGATTATTACTGAAGAAATCTATTAAAGTTTTTAATGGTCAAAGTCTAGTTTCCATCTGGGTTTTTAAATATTTCTGAAAAGAAAACCCTTTTTTTGTAAATTGATAGAACTTTACTAACATCTAAACTAAAATTAATTCAGAATTTTCCCCTAAGTTTATTAGATGCCATATTGCCATAGTGCTGAAGGTATAAAATTTAAAAATAAAATAGCAATATAATTTTAAATATTTTTCGTAAGTGTAGCTGTTCAAGATACAAAGAGGAAATAACTCTATAACGATGTTTCCCTACTTTTTTTTTTAATTCTCTGAAATGACACTTATTATTTTTCTTACGAACTGAAATGTTATTTCTACTGAGTATAGTTTATACTTTATAACGTCAGTAAGTCCTCAGAATAACAACAAAAATGTGATTATCACCAAAAAAAAGTTCGTCTATCTGCCATCACATAGGAAACAACTGAAAAGCAATAAAGGCTGATTGATTGCAAATAGAACTTCAGCATATGAGTTTAAATTCAAAAACGTAGTTTGGTTTTGTTTTTTCATTTGTATCATGATGTTTTTGTTAAAAGCTAAAAAAATTTATCGCGAGAAACAAAAATTATGACCATTTTTCCGGTCACTAGAAAATCAAAACTAACAAAAATCATATTTTCTAAATAAAACATTTTTATTTTTGTATACGATCAGTGGCCACTAGGAAGTCTAAACTAAACACTAGCAGTAAAACACCACCGAACTTTGAAGGGGTAGAATGCATTTCAGTGGTGTTACGCCTGTGTTCATTGCCCCTATGAAAGAGAGACTAATAAACTATCGTTAACATACATTTTCATATGTAAAGCATAGGATATGTTTCTTTCAAAAATCAAATAATAATTGTCGAATGTTAATTAAACTTTTAGGACTTATTCACAAAAAAATTAAATTATTTTTTAGAAAATCTTGGTAAAAATATTTTTTCTTCTACATCAGTTACACCCCCACCACTTAGCTCATTTTTCTTCAAGAAATTCATTTTTGTCGGGCTTTTTGCTTATAATTAGTTATAAGCAGAATCTTTGGAGAATTCTTAAATTCACAATTTTTTTTTTTAAACTCTGTTCTAAATCGTAAAAAAATAAAAAACGAAGATATTAATTAAAAAAGCTTTATCAATAAGATGGACATTTATAAAAAAAATATTTTTCGATGAATAATGAATGTTTACAAGAATTGTTTTCATTTTTAACAATTTTAATTAGGATATTTTATAGTTTAAATTAAAATCTAACGGTTAAATGATATTGTTATTAAGTACAAATTATATTATAAATGGAAAAGCTTTTTACTACAATTCAGTTACCTCCAGTATTTTAGAAAGTATTTTGAATCTTTTTTGTATGTGTATGCCGATTTTTGTAAATACAGATGTCCATACATTATCAGAAAATAAGAGTGGTAACTAAAGCTAAAGTACCAAAAATTCAATAAAATATTACTTATTATTGGCTAGTTAAAAAAAATTATATAAAAAACTAAAAGGCACTCTTATATTTTTGTCACATAATTTTTGCAGATATTTCCCCTGTAGAAAAAGTTTTTCAAACAGAAGTTTATTAAGATGGTTTTCATTTGTCAACACCTCATAAAAACACCCATTTTGTGTTAAAAATGCTTTCCTGCAATATGTTAAACTAAAAGTAAGTGATATTTGTTTCAGATAAAATTAAACTTTAAATAAAGTTTCAGAAAAAAAGTATATTTTATTTTTGGAAAATTTTTTAATAAAGAGAATTACGTTTTATGTTGAATGAAATACAAATATGGATAAAATCAGCCATTTTTAGCAATTTAAAACAATTTCAATCAATTTATATTAATTTTGAAATACAACAGAGTATTTTGCTTATTGGAAATATTAAATTTAATTTGTTAGCTCGAAATTAAAACTAAAATAAAAGCTTCAAGAAATACTTATTTTTAAAAATTCATTTGGAACTTTAGGTATTACTTTTCTTTGGAGGTACATAATTTAAAGTGTATTTACAAAAGTCTCCTGAATCTGACATGATGAGTGCAGAGGAGTAATTTTAAAAAAATTCCTTAAATTTTAAAATTTCCATATTTAAAATTATAAAATAATATCAGAAAATTTGGATTTCTAAAAAATGTAGATACTTGAAAATTTTGTGAAATTCTCCTTTCCATAGAAATTTAAAGCAAGAGCTCATTATGATACTGATTTTCTAATAAGGTTTTTTTCAATAAACACAGTTCAAATCCACAGTTTCTTATTGGGGGTCAAATACTTCATTTGACCTTCTGCAAGAACAAGCATGATATGGATTTTCCAGCTAATTATCTGTTTATTCTATCTCGACAATGTTAATAATGCTATGTTAGATGATATCTATCGGGCCTTTGTTTTTACTATAATTATGATGTAAATGATATATGGATCGCCTTGGATTCATTTAATCCACATGACAAATTAGGGTTAATTTTTAATTGTTTTTTATCATTAAATAATTTTTTTTTTTTTTTTTTTTTCAGTTGACAAGGTTGTTGCCAGATTACCAAATTCCGTTAAAAGAAATCTTTTATACATCCACCCATCTTGTCTGCCACTGTGTAATTTGAGCATAGGTCAGCCATGTGTTGTAGATGGAGAATATGTCCAAACAGTTTGGCCATCTCCGTTAACTAACCCAAGCATGGTGGGACTTTCATCTGAGATTCAAGAAAAGCTTCAAAAGAAATCCAAGGATTTTGTTTTGATCAGTTCTTTAAAGCAACCACAACTTCAAGCTGCTGTTCTTCAGATTAAATCTCAGTATGACATTTTTCATTTTTTATTCATATTCATTTTTCAGAGCACATTCTTAATTTGCTCTCTCTATAATATTGGGTTAGATCAAAAGTTTGTAGTATTTTTAAGTCAATTTCAAAGCTATTTGGATATTTGTACATAGATTTATTCAGTCACATATGTGTCATTTGTTCCACTACATTTGCCATCTTTGAGACAGCTCCCAGACTTTAGCATCTTTTGTGGTGATGAATTAGTCTAATAGATTTTACAGGCTTCTAGAGAAATGAAGTTCTTCCCATTCAGAGGGTTTTGTAGGGGTTGAAATAAGTGGTAATCTGAAGGTGAAGGATTAAGTGTGTATGGTGTATGTAGTAAGACATCTCGTTTAAGCTGTACAAATTTATTCCAGATCTGCAAAAGGATGTGAGGTTATCATTGTTATAATAGAAGACAACATTATCTGTCTATATTTCTGAGATGAAGTATTATGTACACTATTTACATTGTTTGGACTATCATCCTCATCTTTGTTGCCATATTTATCACAACGTTTCGGCCATTGTACGCTTTGGCATTCTTCAGGTGGTTGGAATGTCAAACTGAACCCTTTATTTTGCTTGCTGGGGTAGACTGTTCTAATTCCATGTGCCATGTCTAATGGATGTCAGTTATCAGCTATCTCTTGTTAATTCTCCTCTCCAAGTTCTCCACTGCCTTAACCAGGTATTGAACTCACGCTCTTTCGGTCCTGTCACTGGATCTAGCCAATGCCTTTATCCACTTGAGGACATCTGCATATGAATTTCTGGTTATTAAAAACCCTTTGTCTTCAGCATTATTTTTTTACCAGTGCTCATATTACAATTTTTGCTGTTATCATTGCATGTTTTTTACCAGAGCTCATATTGCACTTTTTGTTGTTATTGCTTTTCTCTGACACTCCTTATTACTGATTCCCATATTGTATTCATTTCTATGCTTGTTCGGCTCAGGAGATTTTTGTGGCCTAGCATATGTGCTGATTCCTTAAGTTTACGAACTTTGTAATGATGTTCTTTGTCTATGATTTCAACCTGATACCACAGAAAGCGGTGATTTCCCTTTTCTCTCTATATGTGGTCAGCCACACCTGATTTTTCCACTTCCTCTTGTATTACGGTTTTTTGGCATTCTTGAAGCCTTACCTTAAGGGGGTGGCCTGTCTCCCCTTTATATTTCTTTCTACAGCTGCACAGGATGGTGTACACACAGTCTCTAGTCATGTTTTCCTCTATAAATGCAACCCAGAGACATTAGATAAAGAATTGGTCAGTATAAGCAGTACTCTACAACATAACAACTACCCTGGGCACATGGCAGCAGCCCCAATAAACTGAGATAGGTGGGTACAAGAGGAGGACAACAACACTCAGAAAACAGTCTGCCTGCCTTATGTGAAGGGGTTATCGGAGAAAATACAAAGGATCTGTGGTCCATATAACTTCAGCACAACCTTCGAAAGCTGGACGACACTTTGCAGATGCCTCTACTGGGTAATAACCCCCCCCATAGAGGAGAACATGACTAAAGACTGCATGTATGCCATCCCGTGCAGCTGTAGAAAGAAATATAAAGGTGAGACAGGCCGCCTCCTTAAGGTAAGGCTTCAAGAACACCAAAAAGCTGTAACACGAGGGGAAGTAGAAAAATCAAGCTATTGATTTCTTCCTTCTTGCTCTGCACTGTACATAAACGTTCAGCACTATTTTCTTTGTTTCTAACAACATTTTCCTATCTGGTAATAGTTTGCTTGGTTTCTGAAAGATGTTTTTCATTATTCTGATGCACCTTTGGATTTCTGTGTCACATTTTCCATTACCTGTTACTACTCTTTTTTGTACCTTTTTGATTTTGAGGTTACACTTTCTTTTTGCTTTCTTTTATTATCTTGTTTTAGAGTTCTTTTGATTTCCTTTCAGAGTCTGCCATCAACACTGTTATAATTTTATATTGCTTAAGATTATATCTGTCAATAACATATCCTGGTATGTCTTTTAAATACTGTTAGGATTGTGTCACTATATAGGTAAAATAAATCTAGTGAGAAAACATCCTTGTTTTTCTCCTCTTTCTTTTTTTTCTGTATTAACTACATTTGTTCTCTATCCACATGCAGGTTGTTATGGATTGCTTGAATATCTTTCTAATATAGATTAAGCTTTCCTAGCATTTCAAGTATGTCTTTGTGCAAATTATTTTGTGTAATCTAGATCGCAAAGATAGTATTTCTTGTTCTTTGCTTCTCTGTTGTATGAAAGGGACTTGCAATGTATTCATTCCAGCTTTGTAGTATATTATCTTTATCTCTTCGGTCACTTTTTAGATTTTAGGTAAAGAACACATTTTCTGTTCTGTTTCTTTTATCTTTTTATACATGCCATGCTGATGCTCTGTAATGTCTCTATCTGCATACTTCTTGTTTAACCATTCATCTTTTGTTTGCTTGCCACTATTTCTAATGTTTTTATTTAACATCTTATATTCTCTGCCATTCCTTGGTTTTATCTGTTGTCTCATTTTCCTTAGTTTGAGATATTTGAACAGTCTTGTCTTCAGAGTATTTTATATGCATATTAGTCTAAATCTTGTCAGTATTTTAAAGATGGTTGAATTGTTTTACTATGTTGATTTGTAGTGGTGATTTACTAATTGTATTTATCTTAATGAATGTGTATTCAGTGAAAGTTTTTTTCTTTTTCAGTCTATGTTCTCAAATATATAAGTCAATATAAACCTGCTGACAAAATTTGTATCCAAGGACAGTATTTAAACTTAACTGAGGAACAATTTGTGCTTATACATATTCAATACCAATGTAGTTAAATACATTATTAATATTATTTCAGATTTACTGAAAATATTAGACATGTGCAAGTTTCAAGATCAGACTCTAAGCCATGCTTATGTCCTTTTTATGTTACATTTTAACTTTGTAATTGTAATTTTTTATTCTGCATGTATTTAACTCAAATCAAATGTTGACTGCAAATATTTACTTAGTTGTTATACATTTGCATAGCAAATAGATTAAAAAATTTTATGATTTTAAAAAAAAAAAAAAAAAAAAAGGATAGATTTTACACTTTGATCAATGACAAAAAAAGATTTTTATTTCCCTTTAAATACTATTGAAACAAGCATAAAAGGTGTCAGTTTTTGTTGAATTCTCTTTAATAATTTTTGTTAACATAGATTTGTTATCTAGAGAAAATCTTTGATTATTTTGCATTTATTTTTGCACATGCAGAAATTTGTTTTTGTATAATTAATTTTAAGACAAACAGCAACTATAGCAACTTTTGTTTCTTCTATTGGTATCTGAAATATATTTGCTTGTATTATTATTATTATTATACCTTTCAGATGCTCTTCAAATATCTATATTTTCTTGATCTAGGATTCTTACTTTTTCAGCGATAAAAAAGATTTTTACTCAAATGTGGAATTTTCCGAGTTTTTACAAAAGGAAACTGGTAAGTATATTTGAATAAAATTGTTTTTTTTTTATTTATGTGTCCCAAATGAAAACTTTCATGTCATATATGTATTAGCCGATAAACTGTTTTTATACTACTATGAATATTATAAGATTAGAGTTAATGGGAATAAATTATGAATTTTAAATGTGGGGTGAAGTAAAATCTATAGCAAATAAAGTTTAAAACAGCTGAAATCAGTTTATATTTTATAAAGACCTAATATATACCATTATCTTAGAATTGACATTTAATAAAGTTATACTGGAAAGTGACTGAAAAGTAAATTCACATTTTAAAATACTTATAATTTATTTATTAGCTATAATATGTGTAACGAGCATGTGCGGAAGCGTCCTCGAACTGCGTGTGTGTGTTGTCGCCAGGCACACCTTGGAGTACCATAATGGACTCAACCGAGGACTACAAGAAGAAGACGCGCAAGTCATTTGGTGTCTTTTCTTGGGCGACAAAAGCCGTTGTGGTCGGTCGTCTGTCGGCAGCAGTCTTGGGTGCCGTTTTGCTCGTTTGCTGTTGTAAAGTGTTCGTTGGAAGAGAAGGCGTTCGTTTCAGGTTTGCAAGAAGGCGTTCGTTTCAGGTTTGCAAGAAGGCGTTCGTTTCAGGTTCACAAGAAGGTGTTCGTTTTTGTGTCGCAAGAAGTTGTTTTTTTTTTCCCATTTTCTTGCACAATATGGATATAAATGGATATGAGAGGAAAGCATGAGGTTTTATTTAAAATTCGATATGGTCACGAAATTTTGCTACCAGCTTCTCGAGCTGCTCAGAAATCGCATCAACTGATTTCACCAGGAACTCTTGTGGTATGAAAGACATAACTTCTTGTATTCACCCTTTAAGTTCTTCCAAAGTCTTGGTTTGATATAGTATAACTTGCTCCTTTAACTAATCCCCCAAAAAGTTACAGGATGTTAAGTCAGTGTAATTTACTCAATATATAAAATGCATAAGAAATAATCACAAACATTTCACAAAGTCTTGTATTTCAAGAACATAGAAATTGTCCTGGTTTTGAAAACTGTTAGTCAATCAGCCTTAAATTAATTCAAACTCAATAATTGTACAATTCATTATTAAAGAAAAGGAAACTACGGCACCTCATTCGGGTCAACATTAATCATCAAAAACGTGTTTTCATATGAGACATGAAATTGAAAGAAATCCTTGTTGCTAGGTGACAAATTTGTCACTTTATCTGCATGAACCAAAAAATAACAATACAGTATTTTATTCACATTGGTTTTTAGTAGAGCAACCAGAAAAAAGACATTTCTTAAATCAGTTTTAAAACAGAAATAATTGTGAGTAAATGAAATGAAACGAAACACTGTCATCTTAGATCAGTTTTCATTTGCTTACTTTTCAAACTGAACAAGTGGAAATTGTTTAGAGTAGAACTTAATTTGAGTCACTTGCAGCCTACTATCAGTTATGATAGATTTTTAATTATACTACAAGGATCATTCCAAGCTTTCAAGTGCATTGGCAATATCAATTTAGAAAGAGATTCATATGCAATTGTGCAATATTCAGTGACAGTTAAACAGCTCCCAGTTTTCATGAAGGATGACACAGTTGAAAAACAGACTCCAAAATGGCAGGGTTTTAAATGATAAATAACTCACACTGACTTCAATCATGTTTAGCCCACGGTTGACTGGGAAACATGAAAAAAATTTAAGAAAATCTTTTCCAAGAGATTTGCTTCAATAATGCAGCCTGGTTAATTATTCCACAAGAGGAAATAGTAGAGCTGATAAATACATTTTTATTTTAAGAGTAAAACCTTAACATGGCAAGTTCACTAAATTTTTATTTAGATAATATTCTGGAATAGTTTTGATAATTAAGTGAAAACTGCTGTTTGAAAATAGATGTTTCTACTTATTTTTCATGTCTGTATGGTTATAATTTATTGAGGAACTTATCAGATGCACTCAAAATATTCATTTACTTTTCAATTAGAAACAGGAGTATATCTCTTGATAAAGTATGTTTTATTATCTTTAAAATCTAACAAATTTCTACATTTATCAAATGTTTTAACAAGAGAAAATTTTGATTTGTATATATATATATATATATATATATATATATATATATATATATATATATATATTTAATGAACAACAGACACTTTAAGGTACCATTACAATAATTTATTTCACCAAAATCCTTTTTAAAGGATTTTGGATCATCAGGTAACACTTCCAACAATGAAATGAGAGGAAAAATGTGATTAGAAATTGATGGGTAGTGTAATTTTTGTAATTAAACAGGGAGGGTGAAGGTGGCGGTTAAAGAGACAATACAAAATATAGTGAGGGTTAAATTTACATCTCTCTTAAATAAGCCTTAAATAAGCCTTAAATTGGAGTAGGAGGAGTAACCTAACCTTGACCTATTTATGTGGTAAAAGAAAAAGGAAGTGATATATAGGAATAGTGAGGAAAGGAAATAAAGAAAAGGGAAAGAGAAAGAAAAAATTGGAAAAAAAGACAGACGTATCCAAAAGAGTTTTATTGCAAAGGGAGGGGAGGGGGAGAGGGAAAAAATCGAAAAGATTCAAAAAAAAGGGGAAAAAAAGAAGACATATTCAAAAGATTTTTTACAGACATATAAAAGATTTTATGGAAGGGGGGAGACGGAAGTGAATCGAAAGAAGCTGTAATTTTGTTTTAACAAAATTATGTAAAAGATAGATTACAATGTTTGATAGAAAATTAGGTGTCTAAAAAATTGGAAGATATTAAATTCAGTATTTAATTTTTTAATTAACTAGTTTAGGGATTTAGTACAAGTTAACTACTATTGTAATAAATATATTTATCGAGAACATATTAAAGAAATATTTAAAATTGCAATAGTACATTTACCCGAAACATTGTGATTCACTATGTCACAATATAGGAAGAAAACTACGGTAACAATGAATTCATCTATATTAATATCTAAAATAATTTGTGAATGCAATTTTTATTTATTTTTATATTGGTAAGTTTAATTAAGGTTTAGGTTTCATTATTTAATGGTATTAGAGGGTAATATTAAAGATTTTGTTTTTTCTTATATATCTCTCACAAATCTATTTCTATAAATTTATACATACCTACACACATTAATAAGTACAAATGCACACATAGACACACATGTAACAATATACACAAAATATCATTCATCTTCATACATAAATTATATATATATATATTTCATAATCATAATCTATATTTAAATATTTTAAATTTATTTAGATTTAATTTAGATTCCATAGTTAAAGTTTAAATTCAGGTAATTTTTGAAGTGTTACATATTATTAAAGGAAATTTGCTAATATTGTTATTAATAGTTAAATAATGGTAAATTTAAATTTAAATTATCATTTTTAAAAAGAAAACCCCTTCAGAAGATAAAAATATATTCAACAAACCTAATTATAGAGCATTACAAGATAAGGTGATATTAAGTATTAAGAATATTAAATTTAAACGTCATTATAATGATCTCATTACTTCTATTTAAAATCAAATCATGCAAAAAAAAAAAAAAAAACTATATATATATAAATAAATACATGTACACATATATATCCCCACATATACATACAATATACATATATATCCACATACATGTACTAATATATATCTATACATGTAAATCCACACACATGTAGAATTCACACACTTATATATACATACATATAACGATACCTGGCACAAAAATTAATGTCAGTATTCAAATATGCCCTCCACTAGTATATTCATATTCGCATATACACACATACATATATATATGTATATATACACCTATACATATACACCCATACTTCCATACACATGTGCCCACAAATTAAAAAAATAATACATATATTAATATAAACACCCTTATCTATAATGTTCATACATATATATATAAATAGGTTCACATATAACAAAGTCTAAGTTCAACAACACACATATCAAAGATTACAGTGTTCATGTGTTCATTTCAAAAAACAAAATTAATATTTTCTTTTTTTATATGGTTGTATCTACACATACTTTGTTAAGATGAGGTGGTTTTATGTCTACATTTACATATCAACTCGTTATGTCTGTTCAATAATCTGTCCAATTTCCTTATGTTTTTTATAATTAGAATTTTTTTTAATGCACAAATTGCATCGGTCTCTGAAATTTATTGGAGTTTTAGCTTTTGAGGTGATTTTCCATTTTATTTGTGGGGTTAATTTGTTTTCCAATAACTCCCAATAGTGCTTAGAAAGTGCAGTTGAATTCTTTTTTGATTCATTAGTGAAGGATTGGCGATGGTTATAAAACCGTTGTTTCCAATTTCCCTTGAAATGCCTATGTAGATCTTCTTTTTATGCAATATCTTCCTTGGGGAAAAATCGTTCAGATAAAATATATCACGTTTTTGGACAGACATACTCCATCTACAGGACAAACAGATCCTTCCCTAAGTTAATGGTGTCAATTTGAGTAGCATTTGTTTTTTACTGTACAAAAAATGTAGAGTTTGCAGAATTGAAATTTCTTTATATCATAGCATAGAGGTTAACAAAAAAACTCTTATTGAGTTGGATGACTGTTATGTCTTTTACCAGACTACTATTTGTAAATATTTGTTTTTGTTTACAAGATTAAATTACAAAAAGTACAAAATAAGCTAAGTTATCAAACTTATTAGGAATAACTACAAAATTTGTTTGTATATTTTCGTTATTTGTATTTCTTAAAATATTTTTAGTATTAAAACAATTTATTTCTGTATTTAAAGATCACATGATGAATGATTGTAAAGCTATGTCACATATTTCTTACATTTTATTATATCATCATTGCTTAGACTCTATTATAAGAACATAAAGCTAAAGATCAATATATTTTGAGTTTTCTTCAAATTACAAGTTGGTTTCATTCAATTTTCAAAACATAAGCAATTAACCATTTGAAATAAACCAACTTCACACTTTTCAAATC